TCTCAAGGTGCCTAAGCAGGCAGTCACCTTATCTTTAGAATCAGATCACCATGAGAGCACTTGTTTCACCATTTCCACTAATAGTTCACATGTGCAGACACTTAATACACAAAATCGCACCACTTTTACATATCAAAATCCACTTCAAACCATTATTTAAACAATGACACAGGATCAGCAACCTGCCCGCCGGCCAAGTTCCCGCCAAAACCCCCATACACACATGTATCCTGCCAAAGAGATTATCAAAGAAAATATAATCACTATACTCGCGACAATCTAAAAAGCCCGATTTGACTTTTCTCATTATACATGCCGCGATAACTTTGTATGAACGTCGACCTAAGAAATCGAAAAATCAAATTCACAGTCGTAAATAATTACTATGTTATCCATACACTATGACAATGAGTATTATTCGTAAGCACCAAGTTTCACTTTCTATTCAAAAAAATGCTCTCAAAAACACGAATTAATCGTTGATTACTATTCCCACAGGACGTTATTACAATGACATCAAAGAGTATAGTAATATATAAGGAAGAATGACATGTCTTGTCATCTTTGGGTTCATTACCGTAGTGTTGTGACCGTTATAAACCATTTTTTGACCAAATAAAATCGACGTTCTAAAAAATCGATACTTTTACATTTAGAAAAGAGAGAAACGTATTATTTAATGTTTAACATATAAAAACAAAATCTGACCATATACATTTCTAGGTTCATTTTGATATTTAATATGTTAATGTTGGAAATAGTTTGATTTTAAAAAAAATGAATTTTAACCTCCATTTTTTCTCTCTACGTCATTGAGTCGTCAATGCTTCGCGTGGTCTCTCGCTATCTTGGAAGTTTTTGTGTTATTGGTAATTATTATATTTTCTGACTCGGCTATCACTCTTGCACTCTTTCTGCTATATTCGTTTACCTTGGCTTGCTAATTCCGGACTTTGATTACGCATTACGTGATTTTGGTATTATAATAGTAAAGAGGACGTATTCTTAATAGCCAGTCTCGTAACTTGGTTTTGAAGTTGCACGAGTACTTTGAACGGGAGTCAGCAAATAGAGGGCCTCTTTTAGAAGTTACCTAAGTACAAGAACGAGTCGCACAAGCGCTTGGAATTGGCATAAAAACTGTACGAAATATTATAAACAAAAAGTACAGGCCTTTTGGCTGTGAAGGTAATGTACTGCACACACCCAAAAAGCGAAAAAAAAACAAAAATGTTACGGCCTACGGCTGCTCCCTTAAAAGTCAAATCCTCAGGGGCCCATTCAGCTGAGTTTCGACGAGCAGACGTAGGTCCAGCCTCCTACGGCCAAAGTGGAAAATCTCTAATTACACTAAAATATATGGGGGAGCGTTCTATACTACGGCCAGTCGACCGGGAGGAATTAGACGGAGCTTAGTTACCTATATCCCAGGCGCCTGGTCCCTCCGGAGTCGGTCTGGTCGCATGTGTTTGTGTAGTGCAAGGGAAATAAGATGATGTGATGTGTATCTGGGTGTGACTGATGGTGATTGAACCTAGACCTTGGCCGTAGGCAGCAGCCCGAGCGTCGACACCGCTCCAACTTGAGGAGGCCTTCCGAGGTTGTCCACAGTCACTTTCCTCTTTCGTCACGATGACAGTCAATTAACTCTATCGTACGATTAACTAACTTACAGAAGCCACTAACTATCGCTGGGTATAAGGTTAACACACAAGACGCACACGGAGTTTACGGATCAAAGGTCACTACCGTTTCGCGTAGCAACAGTTAGTTCTAGAATATCAGAGGCCGTACTAGCTAATATTGCCGAATGCACTTATGCAGATTCTGAGTCAGACACTATGTGTCCCTGGGAAGCTCTCCAGTAGGGATGAGCGTCACAAATCCTAGACCGTGTTTTTACTGTCCGCGCCTAATTATTCCGAGTTCCCGACAAAATTGACAGCGTGCTAACGTCAGCACCGCTTACAGACGAATCGCCTTTTTTCTCTCGCGACCCGCGCGCTCTTGCCACGCTCGGCCGAAATTCAAACCGGTATCGCCCAGAGCCGTGCGCCCCCTAGACGTCGATTCCGACGACAGCGTTTGGCGCGAACAAAAAACCTGTGACAGGTATCGATAATTTTGATACTGATGCTATTAGATCCCATGTTTACGGCTACTACAACAAGACAAGAATACGCCACCGAAAGTAAATTACTTGTGTCTCTTAAATCTGCAAACTTATATGATGGTAGTGCAACATCTATCAAACAAATCTAAAAAATATTGGGTTTTCATACAAAAAAAACCGACAAACGGAAGATATTGATGGAAAGGTATGACATAATACTACAAAGAGTATCCTTCTTAAGAGAAGTTAATAAAATTACCAACTGGGACAAGGATATATTTATTGATGCGACATGGTTAAATGCTAATCATACTGTGCCACAGTCTTGGACGTATGATACGCAAGCATCCAGCTCAAAAGTTCCAATGGGAAAGGGTAGACGCCTCATTATTTGTCATGCTGGATCTGTCGGGGAAGGTTTTATAAAAAATTGTTTGTTGGCATTAAGATAAGAATTGAGAATAAAAATGTTATGAATTCAGTGAATTTATTTATTTACCTGACCAAACCACACTTATTTATTGTTAATTTTATTCTTGACTAGCGACCCACCTCGTCTTCGTACGGGTGCATATCAGTGGCGTGCCTACATAATATGAAATGTGTCTGATTTCAGTTTACGTCCAAGACGTAAATTAAATTTTTTTGAAACTTGCCCAAATTTAAACTTAGTTTGGATTTATGTAATAAATGTTAAATATTACAAACTCAGACTCAATCAATTTTGGTTCGATAAAATGACTATAACTATAGAATGTTACTACATTCTATTGATGATGGCGCTATTACTCAAATAGGATCACTCTATCTCAAAATTAATTATAAATTACCTAATAGCAAAAGACAGAAAAATTACGGATTCTACTGGAGCATTTAAGGAACAATTAATTGATTTACAGTTTAATTTTAAAAAGTAGATATTTTATATTTTACAGCAAAATTAAATTTTGGATACTTAAATTTTTTAAACATTAATTATAAATAAATTAATAACAATAGAGGTGGAGCAATTTCGGATTCTGCTGGAGCATTTAAGGAGCAAATAATTGGCATACAGTTTAGTTTTAAAAAGTAGATATTTTATATTTTATAGCAAAATTAAATTTTCGATACTTAATTAAAAAAAATGATTATTAATTAACTAATAACAATAGAGGTGGAGCAATTTCGGATTCTGCTGGAGCATTTATGGAACAATTAATTGGCATACAGTTTAGTTAAAAAAAAGAATGTTCTACGTTAACTTCCATCTGGTGTCATATCGGGCTTCTTAGATTGTCGCGAGTATACGTTTATATGCCTGTTGGTAGTCTGTGTTTAAGTTACTAATAAACAAAGAGAATATAATCACAACGTTTTCTAATAAACGTAGTGATTATATTCTCTTTGGTTACTAATCTATACTCTTTGGTGTTTCACATCAAACCATACCATAACCAGAACCATAGATAAATAAAACCAGAACCACATCCACATACCTACCACAAATTATAAAGTTGTATGTACAAGACCCAGCGTTGTTCTTGATACGGCAATTGCCGTAATATACGGCATTCAGGTATCTTAGGCAACAAAAATACGGTATACGGCAGCTATTTAATTACCGTATTAAAATATACGGTATTTGACTGAGAATTTAATGTCTAAAATCTTTAGTTCCTCATTCTAGTAAGTTCTTCACCTTCACCTTTACTCGGGTAGGTTCTAGAATATGTGGGGAATCCTCTGAATAATTGTAACTGTGCTGTACCTATTTTGGTTCTGTCATTTAATGCTTTGTTATGCTTTATGTACGATCTATTAGTTAAAGCTAACAAAATGATATCTGCTCAAGCGTCCCAGAAGATACGCGATATTTCCTCCGAGAAATGTATTTGGGGGTAAAAATTATGATAGAAAGCAAAAAAAGAAGAATGAAAAGAGTTTTACTCTCGCTGCAGAGATTTCCTCATCACAGGCTGCAAAGAAATTAAAAAAGATACGACTTCTCTGACGATTTACTTCAACTTTTAAAATATTTATCACCTGAAGAAGCAGCTAGTAATCAAACAAGAAATGTTTGTTCATCCATTTTACCGCTTATGCAAATGTTGCCACGAATCGTCAATAATGCCGACGATTTCCAAAAAATTGATGATGAATGGAGAATGCTACCAGTGGTAAATAAATTACCATTATATGAAATTAGCTCACAGAAAACCAATGAGTTTTGGATTAAAATCCGTGGTGGAACAGAACTAAAAACATCTTTTGCTTTAAATGTTTTGTGTCTGCCATACTCAAACGCAGATTGCGAGCGTATCTTCAGTGAAGTAAATAATATGAAAACGAGACTTCGAAATAAATTAATAACTTCAACTATTAATGGAACTCTTCTAGCCAGACAAGCAATCCGTAATTACGGTAATTGTACAAATTTTCAAGTGCCAAACGAAATTATTCGTAAAATGAAAGATAAAAAAAGGACGAACTAAATGCGACAGAATCAGAAGTACTGGAAACTGTTCAAAACCTATATGGTGAAGAATAAAAGTAGTCCAACTATAGTACACATTTATTATGTAAACAACATTTCAACTTTTTTTTATTTTAACCTTCTAAATATGTAAATATTTTGTACAATACGGCATTTTTCTTAGTTTTCCCTAAAAATCCGGCAATTTTAGGATTAGGATACGGCAACTCTAAATTTGTCAGGAACAACGCTGACAAGACCACAAAGCAAACCAGTTTTTCTTTTAACTTTTACCATTTTACAATGATTGTTGTTTGTTGATTGTTTTCTTAGTTTTAAGTATTTGAGTAGAGATTATGTAAACAAACTTAATATTAAATGAATAATTTTCATAAAAAAATAAAACAGAATCTTTGAAAACAAATGGCAGATATGGATGCAAATCTTTCGTTTTTTAAATTCCCTGTAAGATATCTAGTAGTGGTTTATCAGAATTTGTTTAATTCCAACTTGTGACAAAAATCTTGTTATTTTTAGTTTGTAGACGTTGAACCTCTTGAAATAGACTTCAATAAAAGCAAACCACAAGATAGCTACGATGATCTTCAAAAGGCTTTACCTTCCCACGGAGGTCTGTTGGCAACGGACGATGTATTAGCTCAATTTTTGTCAGCGGAAGGACCTTTGGAAGAACCCGACTTAAACGGACCCACAACTTTGCATTGCGAAATTTGTAGGAAAAAGTTTGATAATGCTAAAAAGTACTATGGACATCTAAGAGTTCATTCCAAACAAAATCTTTGGATTTGTGGTAAGCATTAAAGTAGTTTTTTTAATTTATTCCTTTTTTACTCTCCAAATGCAACTTAATTGAAAAAGGTTGCTGGCATATAAATGTTCTACCATATTAAGTGCACACTCATTTGTTGAACAATAGTCATGGGTGTTTTTCGATTAGAACGCAAACCAATATTTATCCGATTTCAGTTTTAAAAATCAGTTTTTACAAATCCGATTTCAGTAGCGCTTAGTGATGCCAATTCGTATGCGTACTTATATTTTGTTTGACCTTATAGTTAGCGAAACGATAAATGCAAATGTAATACAGAAACAAATTTGCGCGGTTATACTTCATGCTTTAATCTAGAAATTAAAATTTTTCTGGTGAATTTAAAAATCGGCATATTTACTATGATTTCTTAATATTATATTTTTTTTATTAACTAAATCGTAACGAATCGTGAGATTGTTTTAAATTAGCTCCTAGGTTACCTGTTGAAGATTTATGTTATATTTTGACTGCAATATTTACACACTAATTATGGATGTCTCCACCGGAGGACCCAAAAAAACCAAAATTACTTTTATTAACTTTAATTTAAAAGATATTAAAATAACTAATACTAGTCAAATCTACACTACGCCCTATGTTAGAAATGAAGTGTAGTATTAAAAGAACTAATACTAATTAAATGTAATTAAACCTACTCCCTACCCGATGTTAGCAACAAAGTGAAGTGGCATCTTGGAGTTTTGTATATATAATGCTGGCAGGTAATGCTGCGGGCTTCACTGTGAATCCACGGCAGCTACATTTCCCATCAGGTTAGCAGAATTGCCTCGCTGCATTAGGTTTCTGGTAAAGGTGCCATATCGGTTGACATCGCGTGCGATTGTGAGTCCACGCCGACCGAGTTTCCCATCAAGTCAGCAAAACTGTCTTGTGCCATCCATATATGTAACAAACTGCAACTCTAGGAGCATTTTCTTTTATTGTCAAAATGGGTCCATACCTCTGGGTTTTTACAACATTTTGTAAATCAAAACAGTTCTTGGCTAATCAATTAAAAGTCTAAACCAAAAAAAAACTTGATACCTAGTGAAAATCAAAAATATTGAAATGTTGTATAAACTTACTCACTTATATAATATATACATACACACACACAATTCACTTAGTTATCTCATTTTTATTTTCTATACTCTGAACTCTACTAAACAAACTTTACAATAAACATCAGTAAATATCCTGTAATTAAATACTGACACGCACATGCGCCCTTGTCACTTAGGTCAAATTTGCATCTAAATTCTAAATGAAAACGAAAACAACATGAAAACAAAAGATTATTTCTAGTAAAGAAACCCTAAACCAGAAATAAATCATCACACAATCTAGCAAATATAGTCTTTAACTATTTAAGAATTATTGATCATATATTTCAAAGATTCTAGTAAGCAAACACCCAAACATAGAACCAAAAATTCATCAAAGCATAATCTCACAAAACAAATATAAACTTTAAGTACTTAGCAGAAAGGATAATATTGATAATATTGATTGCATATGTGAATCAATGAGCAATACATTTCAATGATTCAAGATTTCAATCTGACAAACCAAAATCTAAATCGCAAAATTCACACCATCCTTTTCATTCAGCATTAGTTTGCGTTTGGATTTGGGTATCATTGTTTCTGATTTGTGTGGTGGTACAGATCGTAAGAGTTTAGCTTAGTTAGGTTGATTTTTGATATCAGATTTTCTAGTTTGAGAAATCGATATGAATAGAATTGTGATTGAAATCGGATTATATTGATATATCTAACGCATGCATATTGAACAAACTTTTTCAGATACTCAAAAACAGGTTAGATAAGATAAGATTAAGCCATTTATTCCAAACTTTGGGATTACATGATTATGACAATAAATTGTTGCAGATTAGGTACTGTAAAAATTAAAGGATGTCCCACAGTTTGGTGTACCTCTTGGCATAGGCCTCCTCCAACATTTTCCACTGGGTTTTGTCGTGCTCTACCCTTCTCCAGTGATGACCAGCTGTGAGTTTGAGATCGTCTTCCCATCTCGTCTGTTGATGCCCTCTATTGCGCTTGCCATCTCTGAGGTACCGATCAGTGAAGCTCTTAGACCATTTGTCCTGGGTATCTCGGATCATGTGGTCTACCCACCTCCACTTTTGTTGGTCTATTCGAGTAATTATATCGACTACTTTTGTTTTTTCCCTTATTGTGCTACTTCTTACTTTGTCTAACTTCCTTATTCTTGTTAAACTTCTTTCCATAGCTCTCTGACAGCATTTCAACTTTTCTCTGTGAGATTTGGTGAGTGCCCAAGTTTCGCATCCATAAGGTGATGACTGGAAGTATACACATGTTAAATACTCTACTTTTTAATTGCATGCTTAACTCCTTGGATTTCACGATTTCTTTTAAGGACCAGTACCTCTTCCACCCATTCGCTGTTCTTCTCTCAATTTCTTTGGTGGTTTGTTCTTTGTGAGAGATTATCTGTCCTAGATATATATATTCTGTCACATATTCTAGTGGCTGGTTGTCAATATCAATGACCTAGACCTACTTTCAAACTTTCTTCCTGCAGTGATTTTAACATGTTCTTTAGATTTATCAGGTTTTCTTCAAACAGGACTATGTCATCCGCAAATCTCAGGTGGTTCAGTTTGACACCTTGCACGTTGAGGCTGGAGTTGTTCCATTCTAATTTGCGGAAAACTATTCGAGTAGATGTTCTTGATAATATTAATGTAAATTATTGGTACTCCTTGTTGTTCCAGGCTCTCCCATAATGCATTGTGGCTTATACTGTCGCAGGCTTTTGAGTAGTCAATGAATACCATGTAGAGTTTCTTGTTATACTTGTTATATTTTTCCATTATTTGTTTTACGGTATGTATGTGATCCAGGTGGAGTATTTTTGTCTAAATCCAGCTTGCTCTTGTGGTTGGTTTTCATCTAGTTGGTTGTTTACTTATTCTTTCCAGGATAACTTTGGAGAACATCTTGTAGATATTTGACGTCAAGCTAATAGGTCTATAGTTTCCTATGACTTCCTTTTGTCCTTAAATATATAAGAATAATGTGTGATGTTTTCCATTGTATGGGAATGAAGCCAGTCGCAAGTATTTCATTGAATATTGGAGTAAGTATGGGTAGTAGATCTTCCAAAGTGCCTTTGGCTTTTTCCATCTTCTGACTACATATTGCTTTTTCTATTTCAATAGGGAGTATTTCTGGCTCAAGATCAACATATTCTTTGGTGTTTCTTGATTCATGTTTTTGTTTTTTGTCTGGATCAGAGTAGAGGTCCTGGAAGAATTTGGTAGCTATTTCATTTATATTAAAAATAGGTTACGAAAAGTTATAATCTTAATACACCCTGTTGTTGGGCTTACTCTGCTCTCATTAGGAGAGGCTATGGAGTATTTTGACTCAACTTGGCTTAACTGATCCGTAGAACAGTAGCTGGAACTAGAAAGTACTTAACTCAGCATATCTATTGTTGAACTGGTATTGCATACTGAAATGTTTTCATTTTAGCATTTAGGATATTAAAAACAATAACCGCATCAGACTGTTACTGGGTATATTTTATATTTTATAATCTCCTTTTTTAAGGTGCATTTGTAGCCAACATGTATATGACAATAGACAAATAATATATCCATCTATGTATGGTGTTGGCTGCACTAATAGGTTCTATGGGGTGCATGTGGATTGCAGGTTGTTGATTGCTGATCTTAATAATCTCTGGCCAATGCTAGACCTGGAATAACTGACCTAGAGTATTTTGGCCCGAATTATGTATATTTAAAGTCATATTTAACTATTTTAAGTAGGATAGATAATATGACAGCTTTTTCTTCAAATGCCTACTTCATCTGCATGTGGTTTATTCTGCAGATTAATTATACTCCAAAACAATGAAAAGCCAGTCATGCTGACTTGATGTAGATGTGGAATTGAACAAGAATTCCAGTGCTAGGTTATGTTTGAACTCATTAACCTGTGCTCTCTAATGGGCAAATCTCACATTTCAAAGTCTAGAAGTGCCTTTAAAATACTGTTGAAGTGATTTTATTATATTTCACATTTTGGTTAGCAGGTTTTATAGAATAGAATAGAATAGAAAAAACATTTATTCAGCACAGGTGGTTCATACACATGAAAGTAAAAGCACATATTGATATATATAAAAAAAAGGTCGCATTGTGCCGAAAATGGGTTGGCTCAGCATGTGTTGTGTGAGTATGGCCTCACACAGCGCTGATTTTCAGCCAAGAAACCTATTCATTGGCGTCACGAACGTAGCACAGCTGTTACGTGTAGTTTAGTCCTTCGATAAAACGAAAAAAGCCTAAACCTTCTATATAATTATAACACAAAATTTAAAATAAAGCAAAAAGCAGCAAAAAAAAAAAAGTACAATATAAGACATTAAATATAACCTTACACATAATTGTGTGTGGTAACAACAACTATCAATTATCAATTAAAATGGATTAGTAATAATAATAATAAACAAAAATGAGAAAATTATACAGACAATTTTGTTAATAACCGTACAATGCGTTATAGGAAGGAGCTTTCTCGGTTGATATTGCGATGTTGTATTTGTGCATCAATAAGAAATTTTTTTAGCTTGATTTTGAACTGGTGGAGATTTTTTAAACTCCTGATTGGAGGTGGAATATTATTCCAACATTTTGTAGCCGCATATCTAAAACTACCCCTGAAAGCTGCTGTTCTGTGACGCTGCACAGATAATTGTTGAGAACACAGTCTGTTGTTACCTTGTCTGTTTCGCGCGACCAAAGCTAGTTTGTCGTGTAAGTATGGTGGATTTTTATACTTCACAACACCAAAGAGAAGGCGTGCCAGGTGGAGTTTGCGTCTAGATTTCATCTTCAATACGTAATGTTTATTAAGAAACGGTGTTAAATGACTTCGCGTAGGAATTTTATAACAAAACCTAGCACAGGCGTTTTGAACCCTTTGTACTAGTCGCTGTGTACGAGCTAGCAGTCTGGGCCCATAAACAGTGTCTGCATAGTTCAGCTTCGAGAGCACGAACGTTTCTACTAGCTGTTCACGTAGTTCGACACTGAGGTACGGTCTAATTTTGTAGAGTGTCTTCAATCTGTAAAAACAAGCTCGCACGCAATCTGCCACATGATTCTTGAATCGCAACCCTGCATCCATGTTCAGACCCAGATTCCGAGCTTCGTACACGCGCTCAATTGATATGCCAAGAAGCATTGGAGCTAGTGCAGTCGACTGGGTTTGAATTGTATTTAGTCCTTTTTTGTGGCCTATCAACAAGTACTTAGTTTTAGCCGGATTAAGAACAAGACTATTGTTCTCAGCCCATGTGGCGATTCGCTGTAAATCCTCATTTAATTCTATTATGGCTGTGTTCATGTTTTCCGCTTTAAAAGATATATAAACTTGAATATCATCAGCATAGATGTGGAATTTGCATTTCCACATATGTTTAGTGATATCCGCAGAGTATAGGATGAATAATATTGGGCCTAGAATTGATCCTTGTGGTACTCCCCTGTTAATCGTCGCTAGCTTTGAGCGTGTCGGTGAGCCGTCAGGTTTTTTTAATTCAACAACCTGTAATCTGTTAGTGAGATAACTGTTAAACCATTTAACCGTTTTAATGTCAAATCTATAGTAGCTTAATTTTGATAAAAGCAGAGAAATATTAATTGATTCGAATGCTCGTGAGAAATCTAATAATACAAGTAACGTGCACAATCCCTGATCCTGTGCTTGTAGAATATTGTCTGTTACATCTAGTAAAGCGGATACAGTTCCTCGACCTTTTCTGAACCCAGATTGTGTCTGTGGCAATATGTCGTGTTTTTCGATGTAATCTGTTATCTGGCGGCATACAATTTTTTCTATAACCTTGGAAAGACACGGCAAAATGCTTATAGGTCTTAAATCCTTGATATCTAATGGATTACTATTTTTAGGAATTGGTCGAACTACAGCTATCTTCCATAGTTCAGGAAACTGAGAAGTCGCGAAAGATGTATTTATTAAGGCTGTAATAACATCCAATGTGTCAGAGCATGTTAAAAGCAGCATATTCAGTGTTATTTCGTCGTATCCTTGAGCATTGGAATGTAAACTCTTGATTACCTTAAAGACGGCTTCTGCACTAGTTGGTTCTAAGCTAAAACTGTTTTGACAATATTTATTAACCCTCGGTTGGTCGCGTGGGGTCTTTAAAAGCCTAGGTATTTTTAAAATGCAAATATTTTATTGTTAATACTATCATAGAAACTTGAAATTCCAGGTACCCTCCTAAGTTTGATTATAGTTTCCGCTAATCGCTGCTAAGTTCAGTGCCCGCGCAGGCGTCGTGAGATACGGAAGGTTATTTTGTGCGTAGGCTTTGAAAGACCCCACGCGACTAACCGCGTAAGTAAAAAGTGATTGGAACTTATTTTTTTATTTACTTGTAGCACATGATGTTTTGATGATTTTTGTGTTGTTTTAGGCGTTTTAGTTACTATAATGGACGCTCGACAACAAGAACGCATATTGCACTGGTTGGAGGAGGAGGAAGAGGAGATTCTTGGTGGAGAGTATGATGAAGATGGAAATCATATATACCCGGACGAAACAAGCGAACACAACACGGATTCAGAGCAAGAATGTGATGATGGTGATCCAGAAACCCAGTATCATGTGTCAGAATCGTCCGAAGACCAACAAATGGATGTAGATAGTTCGGATAGTGATGATAATGAGCCATTGATCCACATGTCATCACATAACTTTTATTTTGTCAAAAAAAAAGATAAAAGTGGCCACTATAAAACAATTTGCAAATGGAGGAAGACACCGTACACACAGGGTATCAGAACAAGGAGACAGAATATAGTTACAGAGCAACCAGGCCCACAGGGTACAGCTCGGGCGGTGAGTAACCCCTTTGAATCTTGGCTTTTGTTTTTGGACGTTGATATGTTGCAGCATATTGTGGAGTGCACGAATGTAAAGATAGCATCTATGCAGACAAATTACGAGAGGCAGCGTGACTGTGAGGAGACCAATATCATTGAGCTAAAAGCGTTGATTGGTATTATGTATCTGATTGGTATTCATAAATCGTCACATGCTTTGATTGATGATATTTGGATGGCTGATGGTACGGGGTTAGATAAATGCCGTGCTAGTATGTCCAAGCAACGTTTTCGTTTTTTATTAAGAGTCCTCCGATTCGATAATATTCATACACGGGAACAACGCAAAGCCGTTGACAAACTGGCGCCAATAAGAGAGATATTTGAGCAATTTGTAAAAAATTGCCAGACAAATTACAAGAACACTGAATATGTTACTATAGATGAAATGTTGGAGAGCGTTAGAGGCTCGTGTGGATTTCGCCAATATATGCCAAGCAAACCAGCTAAATATGGCATAAAGTTGTTTTCTCTAGTGGATGCCATGACATTCTACACAAAAAACTTAGAAATATATGTCGGAAAACAGCCAGAAGGTCCCTACTTTCAAGATACTTCAACAAAAGCTCTTGTCAAACGAATGATTGAACCAATATCAGGTACAGGACGAAATGTGACTATGGATAACTGGTTTACTAGTGTTCCATTAGCTGAGGACCTATTGACAAATCATAATTTGACAGTAGTGGGTACATTGAGAAAAAATAAACCAGAAATTCCAAGTGAATTCAAGCGAAAAGGCTTGCAAGTACATTCCACAGCGTTTGGATATAAACCGACAGAGACTTTGCTCTCATACTGCCCAAAAAAGGATAAAACAGTGTTACTACTTTCAACTATGCACAATGAGGGTATAATAGATGAGACATCCGAGAAAAAGATTCCAGAAATCATAATTTTTTATAATAAAACGAAAGGTGGAGTGGACGTGGTGGATAAACTTATCGGAACTTACACTGTTGCACGCGTTTGCTACCGATGGCCGTTGAGGTTGTTCTTTACAATGCTCGATGTTGGAGCGGTAAATGCCCACATAATATTGGATACCGTAAATCCTAACAACCGAATAGGTCGCAGGTTATTCTTGAAAACGCTAGCATTCGAACTATGTCGTCCTCAGTTGGAATCGCGGGCCACTATATCAACTTTGCCACGCGAATTGAAACAGCTTATTCTGCGATTCGTACCTCGTCCCGTGGATGTTCCTCACGAAGATACTGGTTTCGTACCTACGAGGAAACGATGTATTTACTGCACCAGGGGAACAGATAGAAAATTTAAAACTATCTGCCACTTTTGTAAGGGAAATATATGTCCAATACATTCAAAATCAGTATGTACTGACTGTGTTCAAACGGAAAATTAGTGTGAATTTGAAACGCAAAAGTATATTTTTTTTTTGTTGGATCTACTTACATTTCTTTTTATATTGTTAAATAATGCCTTAAAATACCAAAAAAAAAGGTTAACACGATTGTTTTTTTTATTACAAGAAATAAATTTTTTTTTCTCTAAGTCATGTAAAACACTAAAAATTTTGTTCCTATTTTCTAATTTTAAGTTTCAAGGAGTTAATAAACATTTATTTTCTAATAAATTATAGTCTTTTTATTCAAGTAATATATATATAAACAATTATATGATAAAATAAATAAGAAAATAATAATTGTAAGATGTTTTCTACGCTGTTAAATTTTGGGGTCCTTAAAGACCCCACGCGACCAACCGCGTAAGTTTAAAAGCGCGACCAACCGAGGGTTAAATTCAAAGTAAGTTAATTGAGACAGATTAACCTTTGAACTACCGGGAATATTTAGGAAATGGTCGTTAATTTTTTCAGCGTCAGTGAAATGTAAGGGCAGCTCTTTAGGTTTTTTTAAAGGTAATATAATAGATTTAAGACTTTTCCATAGATGTTTTGGTCGACTTTTTTGGCTATTGATATTATTATTAAAGTAAGCAACTTTTTCGAAATATATTGTCTTATTTACTAATGAATTTAAAGTTTTAAAATATTCCTTTTTTGTAACGTCTTTAGTTTTACGGAAATCAGACAAGGCTTTATTTTTTAAAGATATCATGAACTTCAGGTTAGGTGTCATCCATGGGTAGGGTCGAGATTTGAATACGCATTTCTTATACGGTGCATGAGTATCAAAGACACAGAGGACAGATCTGTTAAATGTATTTAGAATACGATTTACGTCAGGTAATTGTGCTATTAAGTCCCAACGAATAGAATTCAGATCTTTTTTTAAATTATCATAGTAAATGTCTTTTATTGGCCGCATATAAATACATTTGTGGGTTGGTTTATCTCGGTATACGTCGAACTCGCAAAACACCATAGCATGCCCATGTAGTATCCCTGTTACCTCCACGGTGACATGACGTGCGCTCAGGTCTGTACAGATAATGTCGATCAGGGATGAGCTTGACTCGGTAAAATGTGTTGGCGAGTTTACAAGTTGCGTAAGATTTAATTATCCTCCAAGAATAAGAATTATCAATGTTTTTCACTTGAATATTGCTATGAATGATCTCCTTTGTTAAGGTTAACAAAGAATTATAATTAGTAATGTTTTTAAAAACTTTCAATATCATGAAAATTATTCATCTATTTCTTAATAAAATTTTATAAATAGAATTAACATTAATTCAATTTCACCAGATAAATGTCCCGATCAGAAGTTTTCAACAAAACAGCAACTCATGAAGCATGGATTAACACATAAGCCATTGACTAGAGTTTGGAAGTGTCCACAGTGCACAATGGCTTTTGAAGCACTCTGGAGTTTACAACAGCATCTCTTTGGAAAACACTTAGATTACAGGTAGATATGTTAAATATAAAGTTACAGCCTATATATGTCCCACTACTGAGTACAGGCCTCCTCTCATTTCTGAGAGAATTTTAGGAAATGATAAATATGATAAAATTAATTCAAAAAAGCTGGGTGATAGGACTACCTTTCTGCCTAGGTGTCCATCTAGGTAGGTACCACACTCTTACCTATGTCTGCTGCCAAATAGCAGTGCCCGCACTACTGTGTTCTGCTTTGAAGGGTATAGAAAGCCTGTACAACTACAGGCTGAGAGGCATTCCACCTTAGTCCTCAAATGTTACAATGCTATTGTAGCTTTCTTTTTAAGTTGCCTGCAGGTGTTATCGACTCAGTAGTCACTTAACAGGCATAGACCACCTGTTAAGTGACTACTATAATTAAATTTAAATACTCTATAAGTGTGTTTGTTACTTCAATTTTAAAATATATTGATCACCATATTAAAATGTCTACAGACTTTGTAAGTTTCTGGCAATTGTTTATCATCATGATGTATTTTGATTGCTGCATCCCAATATATTTATGTTAATATTGTATTTATTTACTGTTTTTCTTGTTTTTTTTTTACTTTCCCTGTATGTTGTTTTGTATGTAACAAAGAAATCATTTAAGAATTCCCTTTTAAATCATTTCATAAAATAGAGAATCAAAATGTAATTGCTTTGTCACCCCTAATGACTAAGAACTTGTATACCAGTAATAATTAAAAATTTTGTACAGCCGACTTCAATATGAGTTATTAAGAATAACTCAAAAACTATTGGCTTGACCTTGATCAAATTCATATGGGACCACACGAGAACTACTAGCTTTCAAATAAAAAAAGAATTATCGAAATCGGTCCACCCAGTAAAAAGTTATGAGGTAACACACATAAAAAAAAAACTAAAAAAAATACAGTCGAATTGAGTACCGTCTCCTTTTTGGAAGTCGGCAGAAAAGGATCACTGGTACCAAAGTTCAATAAATAAAATTACTAATATGTTATCTATGAATTTTAAATGTAGATTTCTTTGCTTTACAGACCACACAAATGTGATCAATGCGAAAAATCTTTTTACAAATTATCAGATCTAAAGAAACACAAGTACTTGCATAGTGGTAAGAATGTACAGTATATTATATTGACTGCATTGTTGGCATAGTAATAGTAAACACACTCATTATGTGGACCTGGGTTCGAATCCCAGGTTATGTCAAATTCAGTAGCTGCCATGTGTTAGGAAAATGGTTGTGTTCCCTTATCGATGATGGGATCTGTTACGCCGCCGCCTCACGGCAAAAGAAAGAAATTAAAAAAGAAAACAAGTCTTAAAATCTCAGTAAAGCCTGTAACAAGTGACTAGATTCCTAAGTCGAAACAGCTAGAAGACAGGCCTGATCTTGGTCACTGTGGAAATTATGAAAGAAATCTTTCTGCACACTCCGTACCAACGGATTCGATCTTCGCTGGCACCAATGAAATTCTCGATCGTAATTTTAAGTGACTTAACACATGCTATAAAGCAAAATATTGTGAAGAGACATGCCTGTATGATAAATTAAAAAAATATATATTATTTCTAAGACATGACTCTGGCTGCCCTAAAAAACCGTCTCAGAAATGAAAGGAGAGCTGTGCCCAGCCCTGGAAATTATATAAGCTATAACCTCGCCTTCAATTTATTTACTGAAAAAAAAATGTGTTAATAGTCTAGATTTCTAGACAGCTTACATGGCTAATTATAGTATAATCAAGTAGTAGATTGCTATATTTAACATTTTATTTTATAATAAGAAAGTCAACATTACTTTTTTCTATTTTAGATTCAAAAAAATATCCATGTCCAACCTGTCAGTTACAATTTAGAGATAAATCAAATTTTAAGCGACATTTATTAACACACACCAATGAAAAACCATTCTGCTGTCCTGGTTGTGGAAACAGATTTAAGCAGGTAATCTATCTTTTTTCAAATTTAAAGACTTCTGCATAATTTTATCCTTATAATTTTACTTATATAAATCTTAAAAAAATATTCTAAATTATTTATTATTTAATGGTTTATTGTAGACCAGAGGGTTAAAATCGGTGGCATTTTCTTCCCTGCTAGCATTTCTGTTACTGTTAAAAACTATTATTCATGCAAAATTTGCATGTAATAAAAACTACCTGTAAAGGTTTTTATTACAACAAAAGTGTTATCATCATTACCATTCGTCACAGGTCCACTCATGAACATAGCCTTTTGCTTTAGACTGTTACTTCCTACATCACTGACTATATTGTCATTCCATCTAGTGAGGGGTCGTCCTAAACATTTACTGGTACTAGGTTTCCACTTGAAAACTTTCTTCCCAATGGGGACTAAACTGTTTTCTGAGCTAAAGGCAAGCTCATTGCCACTTCAGCTTGCTTCGTTCTGCTTTATCGGTTATTCTAGTTTTACAGTGGATTCTAAGCTTCCTCATAGAGCCTGCAGTGAAGAACCAGTTTTTAGATCCATATGTGATCACTGGAGTGTTTTACTTGTAACAAAATGCACATCAAACACTCTTTTAGGAAACTTATAAATATTAATTGGTCACATCCATTTCCCTATTGCCCTATTCCCACTATTTTAGGAAACTTATATTGATTGGTCACATCCTTTTCCCTATTACCCTATTCCCTATTAGATATAATTAAAATTAAATTTTTCTTTCTAGTTGGCTTCTATGAATAGACATAAACAAAACTGTGCAATGAACATCAGGAACCAAAATGAAATTATGGATAAAAATGTTAGAAAAAATTATTGTAGAGTTTGCGGTATGACATTTCAATATAAAAGTGCATTGCTGGAACATTGTGTCAGGTTAGTTTTTTTTTTTAAGCAATTAGCTTTTTTTATTATAAAATTTAACAATTATTGCTATCTGATGCTACCTTTTTTACCTTCAATTTGTGACACTGTTAATAAAATATTTACAAAATTCAATTTTGCTGTTGAACATATCTTTAATCTGAGGTAACGAAGTAAGGTAGGGAACGAGTAAACTCAAAAACCATATGTCAATCTGTACTTAAATTATAAAATTTACAGTTTTATTGATGTCAAATGCAGGTCACCCTCAAAACATACAATTTAAGGTGATGTTAAACTTAAACTATGCCTCATATCCAATTTAAAGTTAGGAAAGCGCTAATATAATATCATACATACGGGTTAGATGCATTCAGCTTACAAAAAATCAGTATGATACAACAACAATGCATGCTATACTATATATGCCAATGCATAGTGCAATTAAATTAATTTTAAATGTACTGCATTATTTCAGAACACATACTAATCCAACAAAAGAGTCTAGTAAAGATGACAAAAATAACCCGATCGTCGCAGATACAAACCGCACTGTAGAAAATATTGTAGATGACATTTTATCAGCGGAAGACGACTACATGATCATGCCAACTCAAAGAGAAATGGAAACATTTAATAACCACTATAACCCAGACCCTACAAATGATGATTATTTAATGCAAATGCAAGTCGAATTTCTAAAAGAGATAAAACAGTTACATATTTTAGATGATGAATTACTTTATAATGATATAGATTTAGATAGTTTTCCAACTAACCAAGTCTTTAACCCACAACGTTTGGACACAACAACTGCAAATGATAGAAGTGGTGATATACCCTTTGATTTCACTGACGGCGGGAAGAGTATGGATCAGGATATTATGAATGCCTTGTATCAGGTAAAAACTGATAATTTTCCTGAAGACTTACTAAATGTACCCAATATTGGCAGTTTTAATGATAAACCAAATGAATTAGATCCTCCTGTGTCAGTTAATGAATGCGCCACAATATTCGAAAGTGACGTCGATTTAGAAGCTAGCACAAACTTAGCCGCTAATTTGAATCAGTTAATTGGAGAAAATAGTGTGCAGTATATATCAACGGAAGATGATGACACATTTATTATAAGTTTGAATAGTGGAATTGATGCAGAACAATTGACGGATATGTTAAATATAGGAGTAGAGCTGACAGAAGAAAAAAATAACCCAGGAGAGAAAGTTCCAGAAGCTGATAGTGTAAATCAAGTGGTGAATATCGTAGATCCAATAATACTTGAAATAAGTGAAGTGAAACAACCTACCACTAGTGAGGAAAAAGAAAATGCGCAAAATGTTAAGACAAAGAAAAAAAAGAGGGTAATTTTTGTCTGCAGGACATGTAATAAAGTTTTCAAGAACAAGGACTGTTATAAGTCACATATTGGTGAGTAAATAATTACATAAGGTTATAATCAATAAATATATTTAATAGTTAGATCCCATCTCCCTAACGCCCCCCCCCCCCCCCCCCGTTTATTCGCAATTCTAAAACTATGGTAAACCAAGTGTAACAACTCAAATGTGGCATATATTGTGGGAAATTTTTTCCACCGTCTCCTGAACATTTTGATTGTTCCTTGTTGACGAAATGGATTGATGTATTCTCTCACGTTGTGTAGTGGCGACATAAGTGAATGTTCTTCTCCATAATATTTTCCCGTGGGTGTTGTAGGAGGCAAAAGAGGGAGATTAAAACAGAAGAGTTGCAGCACCTTTCTGATAATAAAACCCACCTGCAAAGCGTAGCAATTATGACAAATATCCAAATGAAGCAATCTATGGGAGAGGCCTATATTCAGCACCGGACTTTGTTAGGCTACAATGAATGAATATAAATTCCCTTACGCCGCCATCACAAGATTTATATCTAATAATGTGAATCTTTGTAGCGACCCACGAGCCGTCACTGCGTCGTCACGTTTGCGAAGTGTGTGGCGAGCGCTTCAGCTACCGCTCTACACTCAACAAGCACCGAGTCGCCGCTCACGAACCTCGCGTTCTACCCGAGCACGCCTGCCAGCAATGCGGGAAAACATACCGCGCCGCGTGGATGGTAACATACCCTTATAGGTGAAACATCACCTTAATAACCCAGCTTTCTACGTAAGCCCGCAGTAATAAACCCGAGATGGTAAGTAATAAAGTAACCTATAGACGTTAGTCTACTGCGCATTGTACCCATGGTCAAGAACAAGCAATCACACCGCATAAATGTTCAGTTGTAAATAGACTATATATTTCTTACCCGAAGTATATAGTTGCATATAGTTTTTGATAATAATAGGTATAAATAAGCAAACGTTAGTGTACCTCTTATTATAGCCGTGAAGGGAGGAACTTCTTCGCTGCATGGTTGATATGTAGTAAAATCACATATAGACGTTAGTCTACTGCGCATTGTACCCATGGTCAAGAACAAGCAATCACACCTCATGAATGTTCAGTTGTAAATAGACTATATATTTCTTACCCGAAGTATATAGTTGCTATAGTTTTTGATAATAATAGGTATAAATAAGCAAACGTTAGTGTACCTCTTATTATAGCCGTGAAGGGAGGAGCTTCTTCGCTGCATGGTTGATATGTAGTAAAATCACATATGGACGTTAGTCTGCTGCGAATTCTACTCGTTGCCGTGAGGGAGGAGCTTCTTTGTCTCGTGGATGGTAAGTAGTATAGTAACATATAGATGTTAGTCTACCGCGCATTCTACCCGTGGTAAAGGAGACAACAGCGCCGTCTGGATGTTCAATGGTAAAGTAATATATAGACATTAGTGAGCCTCGAATTATATTCGTGAGGGAGGGCTGTTGGCAAAGATCAGATCGCAAAATGAAGTAGCCCTAGCATTGGCTTCATCTGGAATAAATGCAACATTGTTAGAAGGTGGACGAACTGCACATTCTGCCTTGAAATTACCACTAAACATGCAAATCAACGAAGCATCAACTTGCAACTTCGCCAAAAACAGCGTAATGGCGAAGATTTAACAGATATGCAAATTAATTGTTTGGGATGAATGTACAATGGCCCATAAGAAGTCACTGGAGGCACTGGATAGAATGTTAAAAGATCTTCGTGACAACCAAAACATTTTTGGTGGGTCCATGATTCTGTTGACATGTGATTTTCGTCACTCTTTCAATTATTCCCCGTTCAACTGTTGCTGACGAACTAAACGCATGCTTAAAATGATCTAATTTGTGGCGGCATGTAAAAATACTCCAATTAACAATTAACATGCATATGTTTTTGCAACAAAATCAAACTGCGATTATGTTTTCGAAGGAGTTATTAGATATTGGAAATACTAAGGTCGCAGTTGACACCTCGACCGGATTAATTACACTACCCACTAATTTTTATCATTTCGTCGACTCAAAAGAGGAGCTTATTTTGCGTGTTTTTACGGACAGAACCACAGTTCAAAAGCCATAATTGGCCGAGTGAACGACCAATATTGCCGGCCAAAACAAAGATGTCGATGATATCAATGCGACCATTCAGAATTCTCTTCCAGTAAAGTTGTTTTCTTACAAATCAGTTGACACAGTTACAAATCAGAATGACGTAGTCAACTATCCCACAGAGTTTTTAAATTTCCTGGATCCCTCACAATTGACAATTAAAAGTAGGATCAGTTGTGATTATGCTGCGTAACATTAATCAACCTCTACTGTGCAATGGAACGAGACTGGCTGTGAAAAAGCTAATGAATAACGTCATCGAGGCCAAGATCATCAAGGGAAAATACAAAGGAGAGGATGTCTTGATCCCGCGTATACCGATGTTTCCAACGGATTTGCCATTCGATTTTAGGCGTCTACAATTTCCCGTGCGTCTCGCCTTTGTGATAACCATAAATAAATCGCAAGGCCAGTCGTTGAAAATTTGCGGAATCAACTTGGAGTTTCCCTGCTTCGCGCATGGGCGCATTCGCAATTATACTTCGCGTGTTCGCGAGTGGGAAAACCATCATATTTACACACTGCAAAAAAAAAGACAAAAAATATAGTACATCAGAAAGCTTTAAATTGATTAAGAGTATAACTGTATTGCATTTAATGTAAATAAAAAAGTTGTATTCAGTTTTGACCATACTTTTAGCAAATATATGTGTAGGTGATACTAAGTTCACCGGATCGTCTAGTATTATTATAATATTTGAACTTAAATATAAAATTTGGATACTCTTTGAAAAATAACCCTGCATATTATCTATCTATTTATTTATTGGAATATTATCATTCACTAATTGGCGGTAACACATGTTTTTAGTTTTTATTCAAACTGTATATTAAACAGTACAATTTTCTCCCTACAGCTAAAGAATCACATTGAACGGGACCACGAGAGACTGATGCCATACGTGTGCGATGAGAAACAATGCGGTAAAAAGTTTTACAAGAAGTCTGATCTCGTTGTGCACAAAAGGTATTAAATGAAATATAATTTATTTAAATTCTATGTAGGAGTTACCCCCTATATATTACACCTCGCGTTGTATATTAGTATATGCATATGAATAGTTTGTGATTTTTTTTATTATTTCATTTTGCTACTGAACACAAGCCTTCTTCATAGATTGCCTCGTCTAACGGCAGGTTGGCAACCAAAGTTTTTTTACGACCAAGTCTCGGCGTCTCTTCTAGTACTTTTTATAAGATAGGGTGACAAACGAGCACACAGTCCACCTGATGGTAAGTGGTTGCTGTGGCCCATAGACATCTATATCTATCCTCATTTGTGAATCAAAGTGCAGATGCGTTGTCACCCGTGAGGACTAAGATGGAATGCCTCTTTTCAAGTAAATAGGGTCTCCGGTTCGCTACACTCACCATACGAAACACAGCAGTGTCAAGCTGCCGTTTTACGCTGGTATTCTGTGAGAGCGTGGTCCTTCCCCGGTTAAACCGACCCATACGTGCTACAACTATACTACTAATATAGCTGCAGCATGGCTCTACCACGTATAAAACTTAGTACGTATTACTTCAATGATGTTACATGCAATAACATTAGTTGCGCGCAATATTGCAGATATCACACGGGCGAGCGTCCGTACGTGTGCGACATTTGCAAGAGCTCTTTCCCGCATGTGTCCCATCTTAAGAGGCATGTACGGAGCGTGGACTGTACTAAAAGGTGAGTGACTATTTATGCACATCCGGTGGGCCCATTGTAGTACATTGCGTCATATTTTTTATGAACTGTGAACTCTTACAGAAAAACTGTATAGCATACGACGCAATGCACTATATATCATTTTATTGTCAACGAAGTTATCAAATAGGCTTAAGGTCAGCTTACTTGTTAACTGAGTCGTGTATTGGAATGATGCAAATCTTTGGATTTTTAAGACTAAATTAATCCAGACTGCATCAATTTACTTAGTGGCCACTGAGACCATGTGCACTTGCAGCAAATTTCAACAAAGATGGCGACCACTTACCATCAGGTGGAGTGTGTGCTCAAATGTTAAAATTGTCACTGTGATTGAAACATCATACACATCAGGAAACTTCATTGTATTATTTTAAAAAAAGTAAAGTCGCAGCATGTATTACGTCCCACTGCTGGACACAGCCCACTCTCATTCCTGAGAGCAATTAGACCACTACGGTGTTCCAATGCATGTTCGTTCACGAATAACTTTGAAATGTTTTATTTCTCAGACATGGAGATTTCATCGCAACGTACTCCTTCACTGCCAAGCACGTGCTAAATCACTACTTACAATTGCAATTAACATTTTCTGTTTTTGTTTTATTTGTGCCATGGTAACTCAGGGGTTAAGCGCTCGATGTAAATTTCACAGTATGCGAACAACCCATATTCGATCCTAGCCGGCACCAATGAAATTGTTAATTGCAATTTTAAGTGCTAATTTACCACGTGCTCGGAGGCAAAGGAAAACATCGCGAGGAAACCTGCATTTCTGACAAATAAGAAAAAATATATTTTCGAAGACATGTGAAGTGAAGTTAGCCAACACGCATTGGGGCAGCACAGCGGACACTTCCTTGCCCTAAAACCCTCTCAGAAATGAGAGGAGGCCTGTGCCCAGCAGTGCGATGTATATAGACTGTAACTTTACTTTTCCTACTTTCTACTTGACTTCAAAAAGGAGGAGGTACTGAATTCGACTGTATGTTCTTTTATATTTGAAAGCGGTGCTTCTCATCTGGTCTGACCAATAGTTTTTGACTTATCCTTAATAATTTATATTGAAGTCGGTTGAACAACATTTTTTATTTTAATTGAAGAACATTGTAGCATTTAACTTCTTTGTTTCAGAGTGAATAAGCAATGAAAATAATATAATCAAATTCTTACTGGATACCTTGGATATGCGGGAAATATAATACTGTGATATTAGTTTCATTAAGCTACTTACTGTCTAGTTACTAATAGAAGGTATAGGTAAGTAGGACCATTCTAATATATAAAAGTGGATCCCTGGACTTGCAATAAATTAATCTGGTGCTACTATGCCAATAACATAGAATTAAAAGTAAAATTCGGATAGGACAAACAATTTATATCCACTTTCAGCAATAATAAACAATATAGGTATTATAACAGTACGTCACTAGTAAATAGATTTAAATATAATTAGGTTTTAGGGATTTTCTAATTTATAATATTCCCAACGTCATGCCCCCCCCCCCCCCCCCCTGGCTGAGGTGTTTGATGTCTTAATGCCGTAGTTAACCACGGGTGCCTCCAGATAATAAAATTATTTATTTTTGTTACGATTTATACAGTATGAACTTATGGTATCTTCAAGTCTTGCAGTTGTCAACCAAGCCAAGAAATACCAAATGCAAGCCAACCTAAGCATACCATGGGTGTTGTAGTGTTCGCGTAAATATAAGAAATAATTAGTAATTATATATTCAAATTTAAACCTTTTCCTACATTTGTTAAAATAAGTCTTAAAAGACAATACTTTTATGTAATCTTCTAGTTACTATAGATTACTTTTTTTTTTAAATAAAAGCTAATTCCATTACATACTTCCCTTAGTATGTAACCGTTAAGATTAGATCAAACTACTAACGCCACTCTGGTCATATATATTATCGTAGGTATTTGGAAATGGTCCTCCTAACTTTTACCTTCCTGATTACTGTTTTGACAATATCATGTGTTATTAAATCTGTTTTTGTTTTATAATTGCATAATTTTATTGTACTGTATTTATATTCTATAATTAAGTTCTAGTAATAAATCTAAAGCAACAGTAAAGGTTCTTATTAAAAAAATACCCAACCCTACTAATGTGAAGTGATCATACTGGTCCATCTTTTACCATGTTTTTCCACCGACTTCAAACAGGAGGAGGTACTCAATGAGGTCATCCACGACTTTTTCTGCCACCAGGGCGGCGCCACTTAAAAGTGAGGTATAATATTTGACAGATTTCATAGCGGGGAAGTTAATTTGTTCGGAAAATCTAAATCTAATGTTTCTTTCTATACTATTAGCTATATTTTATATTAATAAGATTAAAAATAAATCATCCAAACCACAGATATTCATAGACTATATAAATTTAAAAAAAAGTTAAAAATGTGAAAAAAATTAAACAGCAAACCACTGGGACATTGTTTTGTGTATTAATATAATACTATAGAAACTGATAAACTTTTATTAAAAACCAACTTCTCAATTAAATTACATTGTGTAACAAAAAACTTTATCTCAGTGTCAACTAGCGACATCTGGTGAGCACAAAATTATTAGCCCTCATTTGACTGTATGTTCTTTTTTTATGTGTCAACTTTTTTTTTAGGTGAACCGATTTCAATGATTCTTTTTTTTCTAAAAGCTGGTGCTTCTCATGTGGTCCCATATAAATTTGATCAAGGTGTGACCAATAATTTTTGAATTATCCTTAATAATTTTTATTGAAGTCGGTTGTACAGAATTTTTAATTATATTAACTCGCTTTCTTCTCTGTTTATTTGTTCGCTATAAATTTGCAATCGGTTTTAAACCAACTTCTTAATGAGCTAGAGACTTGAGACTATGTATAGCTCAGAACTGGATGGATAGTGCAATAGAATAGAATATGACGGCACCTGCACCTTTGTAGATGCGGTGGCGTCGGTCTAGCTAGACAGAATTTTTGTAAACGACACGTGTACCGCACACCTGCGGCATTGCACCTGCGTTGCCGCCCGTCCTGCTTGTATAAAACGGACTGAGTGGCCGCCGTTAAGACAGTCTTGGCTCTGAGGTGGAACGGTGCGCTTGTCGTATTCCGTTACTAGTTTATCCTCGACTCGTTGGATAGTTAATTCGTGTAAACGAATTAATTATTATTCCTAACTATAAAATCAGTCTCTGTACTATACTCAATTACACTTCCTACATCAGAAGTGGGATAAAGTCCCCCTTATTGCCCACATAATCTTCGAATAGTATGAGAATTATTACGTTTGTAAAGGCTATAATGCATTTCGCATTGATGGATCTCTTTTTATGTTAAATACCGTAATAAAATTTGCTGTCCTACTTACGATATTGTCGTATCATTAAAGTGTAGCGAAAAGATAAAGTGAAATTATTTAAGCCAAAAGATAAATCCTTTTGTTCGATTTGTATTAAAAGTACCCTTTAAGTATTTTCATTATTTCTGACCTACCTAAATATGTTAACAAATGAAAGAAATGTCTGAGGCTTTCTAGACGAGTCATAGTTTACATTGAATGAAAAATTAACTTGTTCAAGTTTTGTTGTAATTTGATAGTTCACGCGAAACATGATTATCATCTGTTATATTTTGAAATTCAAAACGTTTAAGCGATCTACCAAAATAAAGGATTAACTTTAACATGCTAGGAATTGAAAATAATAAGTAACATTTTTGTGTTCTAATGTGTTGATCAGTGTTGCAGTTTGCTCCGAATACTGTGTGGTCGACAAGATTGGGGTTTGATGTCGAGAGATTCGTAGAAGTCTCTACAACAACGATCAATGAGGAAGATGTTGTGACGGCTAATCGAACATGGTCAGGTACGGCCGAGCGCTAGTAAGATTGAGCCTACACCGCTACAGTCTGTAACTTATCGGCAGATCTTACGGCAAGGTAATTCAAGCGGCCGCCGAACACATGGTCCTTTGGTGCTGTAAATGAACGCCTGAGGCTTAGTCGGCTTTCGTAGATTTTGCGCAGTTGCCTCCTTCCCTTTGAAATATGTGATGGTATCCGTCTCTACACATAGTTACCGTTTTTTGCAATGTTTTCAAATGTCATACAGTCGCCGTTTCTTAAGAGAATATGCGAATTAATTTTGGAAGCTCTGAATTCCATGGTTCGCAATACATTTATCTCGATTTCTTTTAATTTTGCAAAGCAGTACGACGATTTGCTAGCGCCAGTACGGTGCGACGGCTCGCTAGCGCGAATGTGGCATGAACGCAGCAGAACGGAAAGTTGGAGTGTGTTTGCCTGGAGGTAGCCATATCGGCGTGTCCCATACTTAAAAGTCTGGGATGGTCGACCGTTGTAATATTTAACAAGAGTTAATATCTGTTAGCAAGTGATGATAACTGATAGACCGTATGCTGTTCACTGTCAACCGCACGAGGACGTGCGACAGTCAAAGGTAGCCGTGTCTGTGCATCTAGAAAATACTAGAGACGTTGCCACACTCTAGCGAAGTAATTATTCTAGTGCAGGAAAGGAACATGAAGTTGCAGGGAGGCTGGTCTGTGCGGCACTGGGATATGTGTAGAGTTGCTGTTGGTTTACATACTTAGGTGTTATCGTGTCACTACGTCCCTCACGATACACTTTTGTGTGATTGTGACGGGGACATGTTTACGGTATGGTTGGTCTGTAACTGTTCTATACTAAATTGAAAAAAAAAGAGAGTAAGAAAAAGATGTGGTTCTTACTATCATTGCAGGGCGTTTGCCGGTCCAATGATAAAGCTACAGGGAATAGTGATTCCGGACTAGCATAAATAGTACTGAAAAAAAGAGATTAAAAAAAAAGAATAGTTCTTACATCATTGCAGGGCTTTGTGCCGGTCCAGTGATATAGCTATAGGGAATAGTGATTCCGGACTAACGAAAACAGTACTCGAAAAAAAAAAAAGAAAAAAATAGAAAAAGCTACAGACTAATCATTCCGATCTAGCATAAAGGTGATAAAAGTTTTGTAGGGCTTACTGCCGGAACAAAACTGATTATCACCCGAGTCGGAAGGGTCAGTATAGACCGGACCAGACGCTGTTTTGTCAGGATAATCGAACGATGTTTTACAGATTACAGTTGTTACAGATAACTAAAATTGTGATGGAGCGCGTGCGAGGACACACGCATGTCAGTATGGCCGTGACGGCACCTGCACCATGCGGTGGCGTCGGTCTAGCTAGACAGAATTTTTGTAAACGACACGTGTACCGCACACCTGCGTTGCCGCCCGTCCTGCTTGTATAAAACGGACTGAGTGGCCGCCGTTAAGACAGTCTTGGCTCTGAGGTGGAACGGGGCGCTTGTTGTATTCCGTTACTAGTTTAACCTCGACTCGTTGGATAATTAATTCGTGTAAACGAATTAATTATTATTCCTAACTATAAAATCAGTCTCTGTACTATACTCAATTACCCTTTCTACAAATATAATAATTTATATTCAGTATAGATTAATATAAACAAGCGATTCTAATTAAACGTATTTTTTTAAACTTTTTACCATTAGTTCAGATACAAAGAAATCCCATGTAGTGGCGCGGTGTAAGAATATCCACTACCCCATATCGTCCCGTGGGGCCGTAAGAGGCGACAGAGGGAAATTAAAACAGGAGATGGGCAGCAGCATTTTCCTAATAACAAAAAATAATAAAAAAACTGCAGTTTCAAACCCGCCTGCTAAGCGTGGCAACTATGGCAAAATCACCTATGTTCAGCTGTGGACTATTATAGGCTGCAATGGATAATGGATGGATGGACTGGGCTGGTTCAGAAAATACCTCTGTACTAGGACACTAAATTTTCACTAAGTAGAGATTTTAAGCTTTGAAAACAGCTCAGAACTTGAAACGTGGAAAGAAAATGCTCGCCATTTTGAATCATAATTATTTATTTTTCAATTACAAATAGACCGAATTTTCAATAATATCTATCTGCCTGCCAAGCGTGGTGATTAAAGAACCTACCGCTAACCCTTAAAAATATTACCTCTAAAAAGAATCCCTTTGTCTTATCTCCTCAATTTTAGTGCACTCCCCTTGTTGCCTCATCCAGCATCGGAATCAGAATCTGAGGATATATATATATATATATATATATATATATATATATATTATTCTCGTCAGACATACCTCAAAACCTTAAAACGAAATTGTACAACCAGTGCGTGTTGCCAGTGATGACTTACGGAACTGAGACGTGGTCCTTCACTGCTGGCCGTATGAGGAAGCTCAAGGTCGCTCAGCGAGCTATGGAGAGGGCTATGCTCGGAGTTTCTCTGCGTGATAAACTTAGGAATGAGGATATCCGCAGTAGAACCAGAGTGACCGACATAGCCCAACGGATTAGTAAGCTGAAGTGGCAGTGGGCCGGCCATATAGCTCGAAGAACCGACAACCGATGGGGAAGAAAGGTTCTCGAGTGGCAGCCTCGTACCGGTAGGCGAAGTGTAGGGCGTCCCCCCACGAGATGGAGTGACGACCTGGTAAGACATGCAGGAAGTCGATGGATGCAGGTGGCTCAGGACCGTGTTTTGTGGCATTCTTTGGGGGAGGCCTATGTTCAGCAGTAGACTTGTGAAGGGCTGTAATGATGATGATGATGATATATATATATACAGAATGTGGTCCCACTTATATGCAATAAATGAAACCACATACTTGTTATCGCCTTTGCTGACGATATACAATAATTTAAAATTAAAAATTTTGTACAGCCGACTTCAATATAAGTTATTTAAGAATAACTTAAAAACTATTGGTCTGACCTTGATCAAATTCATATGGGACCACACGAGAAGTACCAGCTTTCAAATAAAAAAAGAATCATCGAAATCGGTTCACCCAGAAAAAAGTTCTGAGGTAACACACATAAAAAAAAAACATACAGTCGAATTGAGTACCGGCTCCTTTTTGGAAGTCGGCAGAAAAATGAACATAATCGGCCCAGTAATTAGGTCAAAAAGTAGAGTTTTAATTTTAAGCAAATTTGAACCCTCTATAGAATTGGGTCACTAAGTCAATGATTCAATGAACT